AGCATTACGGTTCTTCTGTGTGTGATGAGGTGTTGGATTATCATTTTTTTCAGATCTGCTTAGTCCTTCACCTTATTATCCACCCAACTTTGTGACATAATGTAGATGTCTTCACTCTCGAGAGCTTGTCCCCTTTGCAGGAAGAGGGGGGAAGTTCAAGTTTTCACTGAGTTTTATGCCTTATGTTCTTTTTTTGGGGTAAGAGATGAGTAGGCTGAGCAGTTGGTCTTTGCATGACTTATTTTGGGGAGTTGATGAGCAGCAGAGGGCATGGGGGTGCAAAACTTTTATGCACTTGCTTTCCAGCTCTGGAGATCTGGACATAATGAGGCAACTTGCTGCCAGAAACCTACAGTCTTGTAGGTTTCCTTGGATTGAGGTTAGTGCGCAATTTGTAGTTTCTCCACGCTTCTGGTGCACTAAATGTTTGGGTTTTGTTATCATGACTGCTCTTTCAAATTTAGTTTCCCCATTGTTTTTAAAAGCACACATAAATTATCCAGTCTGGTAGAACTTTACTCACCAGGGATGAATCCTTGGTGTTCTCCATGTAGGTTAAGACAGGCAGTAAGGCTGTTGTGCCTGAACTTACAAGTGTTGGCAACAGCCCTGTGGGAGCTGCACGATCCAGGTGATGTTTTGAGAGTCATTTTGAACTCAGACCTGCACCGTTGACTGAGAAGTGTGTTTGCCTTTGGTACAGGGGAATGCAGTAACAAAGAATGTCCATTCTTGCACATTGACCCGGAGTCTAAGATCAAAGACTGTCCCTGGTATGACAGAGGCTTCTGTAAACACGGTATGTACCTCACACAGCTGCTGCTTCTGTGGTTCTAGATCAGGGGTGGGGTGTTGCTGTTCTCTCTTTGCATGATCTGCTGGTGTACTTGCTCTGCTGAGTGCTGGGGTAGGGATTTATGGAATGGACACTGCTGAGCTCTGTGTTGCAGGTCCCCTCTGCAGACACCGGCACACTCGGAGAGTCATTTGTGTGAATTACCTGGTAGGATTCTGCCCAGAGGGACCTGCCTGTAAATTCATGCAGTGAGTATGCTCCAGGCCTGGCCTGGAACCTTCTGTTTCCCTTGGAATCTGGTAAATGTCAAATGAGGGTGCTCCAGTGCTTCCCAATGGCTTTGGAGGTTTGGCCAAGGTTTAGTTTGGCCAAATTGTTACTCATCTGAGGAAAGAGAGACTATTTACAAGAGCATTAGTGACAGGACAAGGGGGATGGTTTTAAACCAAAAGAAAGTAGGTTTAGATTAGATATCAGAAAAAATTTTTCCCTGTGAGAGTGGTGAGGCCCTGGCACAGGTTGCCCAGAGAAGCTGTGGCTGCCCCATCCCTGGAAGTGTCCAAGGCCAGGTTGGACAGGGCTTGGAGCAACCTGGGCTAGTGGAAGGTGTCCCTGTCCATGGCAGGGGGGTGGAACAAGATGAGCTTTAAGGTCCCTTCCAACCCAAACCATTCTGTGATATGAGGCAGGGTCTCTCCAGAGAGCTCCAAGTAAGACTCTGGAGTGGTGATTAGATGCCATCAGTGCAGTGGGATCACAGGGTTTTATATTCCAGAAGGCTTCACAGGCAGAGGGATGTGCTACACACATGGAAAGAGAAGTGGGAAGGGGGAGGTCTGTTTCCTGTGAGCCAAATTCAATTGGCTGAACGTTCTGTTCTTTGGATTTACTTGACTGAGCTGATGCTAAAACGTTGGCATATGATTTGAGAATCAATTTTCTTGTTTCCATCTAAACCAGCCCTCGGTTTGAACTGCCAATGGGAACCACAGAGCAACCACCACTGCCTCAGCCGACACAAACACAGCAAAAGGTACACACTTCCCCTGCCTCCCCCACACGCCTGCCCTCAAGCCTTTCCCACAGCGCTTTAAAGTAGAATATATTGTCCAAGTAGCCAAAATTGGGCACTCAGACTCTTGGGTCTGGAGGGGAGAATTAAGGAGTGAGCATCATAGTGATGAAAGCCCCACAATTGTTCCAACTTGACACGGGGATCTGGTCACAGAACACTCCCACGCGACACAGGAGCATGTCACATGTGGTTGTGCAGCAGTCTGCCAGTTTGTGTAATCTGTGTGACATCCCTCCTTGATGGCAATGATATTTTAGCAGCCTAAACCTACTCTCCAAATCTGCTTTCAGAGAAAAACAGGATCTCTGGGCTTTGAAATCTGTGCTTGATTTCTTCTCTCTGGTGCTCCAGCTGGCAGAGCACCCACACACAGATTTGGAGGAAAATTGATCATTTGACATTATGGGGTGCTCTTTTTCCCTTCTAAACAAAATAACAACCACAGAGATCTTTATCCTTGATGCACTTAACGAGTCAGAACTCTTCTCCAAACCAACAGAGGACACCCCAAGTCATTGGAGTCATGCAGTCTCAAAACAACAACACTGGGAACAGAGGACCCCGGCCCCTGGAGCAAGTCACCTGCTACAAGGTAATTCAGAGGGGAGGGATGAGGAGGGAAAACAAAAGGGTTTTTCCCCACAAGCCCCAGCTGTAGCACTAGAAAAGGGCAAAGGATCTTCCTGTTCTATCAGCCTTGGCAGTTACATCACTATACGTGTCAACTCTGCCTGTAAAAATCACTGTGATCGGATTGGGGGTATTAAATAGCTGAATCCATTTCACTGAAAACCTTTAACAGCTGCTTATTATTTTACCTGCAAGCAAATTACACATCTGGAAAATGGTGTTGCACCAGATATTGGCATTTCTCTGGATATTCTCTGAATAGCTTTAAGGTGCAAAGTCATGAGTCTGTTCATGACTTTCTCAAGTTCAGAGGCGCTTTGCTCTGTTTAATTCAGGAGAGCAGATCAGGAGATTCCCCACAGGTCTCTGATGTAGTGCATATCAGATGGAGTAGTCTTGGAACCCTCAAATGTTGAAATTCTCCTTGTGTTTTACAGCCCTTTGCTGTTTGTGGTCGTGAGCATTGCTTTGTAGTGGGTTATAATAAAATGGCATCACTTGGCTCCCAGCACAGAAGCAGCTTTTGCTCCAAGGAGTGGAAGCAGCCCAAAAATCATGTCCCTTGTGACAACGTTTCACTTCACCTGCTAAATTTTGCACGTGTGGAAAAGCTTCCAAATGGGAACAGTTGCTGGCTACCTTGATAAAGGCAGCTAGAAGGAACTGTGTAGTAATTCCTGTCTCTCTTTCTCTTGCAGTGTGGAGAAAAAGGTCATTATGCCAACAGATGCACCAAAGGACATCTGGCCTTTCTCAGTGGACAGTGAAGGAGCAGAAGGTGCAAGGTTGCTGTTGCCACTGAGGAAAGGTTTCTGCCTAGCACTATGTCTGGAGCTATTAATCAGGTCGTTTTTTAATGCCATTACTGAAAGAACTGGTCAGAGGCTGGCTGCTGCTAAGCAACATTTTTGTAATTGTCTCCAATTTTTTTTAAGTTTTAACCTTTTTAAAACCGATTTTGACCTCTGCCTGTTTTCATTGAGCCCTGATGAAAGGTAGATCTAAAAGCCAGTAGATAAACCAACCCCTTACTGGTGCAGCACCCCAGGTAAACACATCTTAGGCCAGTGTTTCTTTGAAGTATTTTCCTTCTGCCACTTCTCTTTGGAGAACCTACAGCGTTTCAGCCTTCCCTGTGGAAGCAGGAAGACTGACTGGGAAAATTTTACACTTGCAATGCCTTCTCCTCAGTGAGAAACAGGGATTCTGCTGTCCTGTAGCTCCTAAACAGCAAAGTCATGTTTCCAGGCCCAGCCTGGTAAAGCTTGTCCTGATGGCTGACGTAACACTTCAAGTACATCAGGCAGTAAAACTCGTGTCCACTTGCTTTGTTTCTGTGCTTCTTGCTGTACTGAAGGTTAGAAATTAATCTTCCGGGTGAGAACCAATCAAGGGGAGAATAAATTGGCAAAACCTCTCAGCCAGACAGTAAGGAACAGGACAAAAATCCTAATAGGAAAGCTGCATCTGTGCTCAGTTTCCATTTGCAAAAAGCAAAGAGGGAAATGAGCATGGCTTGAAGAGTAGGAATAGAAAAGCCTTCTCTCAGCCCCCATCATCCAGCTCACACTGAGCAGGGATTCCCACAGCCTAGAGAAGAGCAGGAAGTGGAGCTGTATCTTCCTATGGAACACTGCTTTTAAAAGTGGTAGAGATTTCTTTTGAGAGCAATTTTTTTGCAAACCCAAACCCCATTTGTTTTGAGAAGACTTATTTTGAAAGGGCCAATGACAAAAAATGTATTAAAAAAAAAGAAAAAACCTGTTTCCCCCCCCAGTGTGAGCCTTACTGATTCGACCCCATCTCTCGTTTGCTGCCTGCCTTTATACTTTGTTTTTATTGAAATGTACTGATGGCAAAAGCTGGCTGTGAATTTATTTTTCTTTAAGAACAAAGTGATCTGGCTGGATTAAGAGAAGAGTCTGTGTTGGTGTGAATGGCTGCAGTTATTTCACTGTGGAGTGAGTCACTGCAAGTTTCAAGTCTAAGGTCAGACACTCTTTGTAACACTTTGTGCCCCCAGAGACTGAACAGTGGCCAGGCTGAGGTGTGTGAGCTTAGACCCACTCAGAAGGACCTCCCAGATTTAGCAGTGAAAGCAGGTAGAGTTTTGACAGAAATTTTGGGTTATCTGAGGCAAGGAGCATTAAAATCCCAGTGACAGAATGAGAGCTGCAGACCTGTCTCATCTCAGACAGTGCTCTGCAATTATGGAAAACAGCCCAAATACCCACAGTCCCTGGGGACAGCCTTAGAACCAGAAACACCAACATGCCACCTAAAGCTCAGACATTCTTTCAAATCAAAACACATCCTCTCAGCCAGGAATGGCCAGGAGGAAGCTTTTAGTTTTATCAACCAGGGAATCAATGGCAATAGTTCTCCCAGTTCACAATGCAGTCCAAGGAGCAGATGCTTTCCCAACCACCTCTGAACTTACCCTGAGGGGTGAAACTCCGAGAACGCACAGTACAATTAACAACTCAATTAAGGAGAGTGTCAGCTCAGGAAACATAAAGTGTAAGCACTTTATTATTGGTCACAACAGCACAGATTTAACGTGAATAGTTGTGATGTCTTCTGTCAGGATAACTGTGCCAGCAGCCAGGGCTGTTCAGGAGCTGTACCTTCACCTTCTGACACTGATGGTGCCTCAGTGGTATTTCCTGCGCCGGTCGTGCTCTGCAGCAAAGGCACAGCAAGTTAATTTTCCTCAAGTCACAAGGAAAAAAAAACCCACCACACTTGAAATTACAGGCAAGAAAGCACTCTAAAAAACTCCCTGAACATGTATTTTTCAAGTACTGTCAGGTCAGAAAGGTACCAAGACCTAAACTTTCTTTTCATTGCCAAGAAAATACTGGCCAGCTGGTAATGTACCAAGTAAAGAATCAAGGTTTTTATGCTAAGTTTGTTTACCCACAATCTTTCATTTTATTTTTAAAAGCAGCAGCAGATTGTTTTTATTACCCCAAGCAACCTTCCAAGCTGCCCTGCACAGACAGAGAGCCTTGTTTTTACTTACTGATGTGACTGTAGCTCCAGATGTAGCTGAGAACAACATACCCAGCCAGCACCATGGAGATACCTCCCAGGCCCCCCTTCTTCACATTGATGTATTTGTTGTAGTATCTGTCATAACCTGGGGAGGAGGAAGAGTTTTCAGAGCAGCCAGATGAGCTGTGGGCTTTCCTGAGTCAGAAAGAAGCAGCCTGGATTCACAGAACTTAAGCAAATTGTTTCTAATGAAACACATCTGAAAGTCTCAGAAGCAAGTCTGGGAGGAGGCAACCTGTGTGTTAGTTGAGCAAGGTGATCTCAAGTTAATAGCCCTAAGCCTTAAAAAAAAAAAAAAAGGGAAAAAAAGCCATTTATGATTTTTCCCCTAAACATTATTGTGACTTTCATAAGCTCAAGCTACTTAGGAGTTATCTAATTCTTTCATACTGGTGTATGTATGTTATGCAGACACTTGCATTTGATATTTTGTGTCTAAATCTACTTTGATGAGTTCAAGCTGCTTTGGAGTTCTCTAATTCTTCCACACCATTGCATATACATGATATACATACATGTGGGTATTAGCAAATGCACACACTTGCATTTGACATTTTGTGTTTGCATCTGCCCGAATGAGATCAGTACCTACAGCAAAGGACACCGGTCAAAGCTCTTCCCAAGTGATTTTAAGTGCCCTGTGTCCCTTCTTACCATCTGCAGGGCTCAACTACTTTTTAAAATTATTTCTTATTGACCTGTGATATGGGAAACTTGGAGATTTTCAGCCAATGGGTTCAGGACTAAGGGCATCCCATTTCCCCTTTATACAAGAAGGAATTATGAAAACAAACCTCCGGTGGGTAAAGTTCACGTGAGAAACAAATTTACGGATAGGAGAACGAGGTGCTACAGGAGAAGCTGCTCTGGGAAGGCAAAGCCCTCCGTGGAGCAGCCCCTGCGCTGTAGAAACGCCCCCCCCCCCCGAGCCAATATTCACTCCGGCAGGCAGAGATGCTTGTGTGCTGCTCTCCCTGGCTCCGTCAGGAGAAGGGATTCAGGGATTCTCGCCCTCCGCGCCCCCCTCACCTCGTCGACAGGCCCCCACGATGCCGCCGGGGGTGAAGTCCCTCATGGCCAGCCAGGAGGGCAGCTGGCCCAGCTTCACGTCCATCAGCTTCATGTCCTTGAGGAGAACTGCGGCGGGGAGAGGGAGAGAGCGGGGTGAGAGGGGAGGCAGGGCAGGAGGGGTGAGGGGGCCGCGGTCACCTTGGAGCCCCCGCACTCACCCGGCGGCTGCGCCATCTTGGAGTGGCCGGAGCGGCGCGCGGGGCACCACGGGAGGGAGGGCGGGGGGACCCGGATGGGGCGGGGAGGGGGCGGCGCCATGTTGGGGAGGGCGCGGGCCCCTCAGGGCGGGTCCTGGGGTCCGTCCTGACCCTGGGGCGGGACACGGAGTAACGAGTACAAACTGAGAGGGGGGAAATTCAGGTTAGATGTCGGGAAGAAATTCTTCCCTGTGAGGGCGGTGAGGCCCCGGCAGAGGTTGCCCAGAAAAGCCGTGGCTGCCCCATCCCTGGGGTTGTCCAATGCCAGGTTGGACGGGGCTTGGAGCAACCTGGGATAGTGGGAGGTGGCCCTGCCCACGGCAATGGAGTGGAACGAGATGATCTTTAAGGTCCATTCCAACCCCTTAAAACTCTTATGATTCCATGATCTGCTCACTGCGGGTCAGTTCCCAATGGGGGCTGCAGGCTGAGGGCTGTGTGGGGGCACTGCCAGCCTGGCACCGTGTCCTGGGCTGTGGGGCTTTCTCTCCAGTCCCGCTCCAGCAGGTCCCCTCAGGGGATGGCAAACAGCTCCCTAGGGTGTTTGTTCTCCGATGCCCCAGGGCAGTGCCTTGGACAGTCCCAATGTACTGTGTGGGGTATCGGTGCCCTCCTTGCTGGTGTTTCATATTGTGAGAATATATAGGAAAAATTCACAAATCCTCATCAGCATCATCACAAGACTTCATCAGCAGTCCCGCTGATGTCCCACAAAAGAACCTTTGCCAGTGTGTCGTGAAGTTGCAGCTCTAACACTGTAAATGTGAGTTCATAGACAGTATATAGACAGTATATACTGCAACATACATTGACATTTGTTGTCGTTTATTGTACTGTAAGAAATCCCATTTTGGTGCCCACTCTGGACTTTTCCCTGTGGGAAAATACTGTGTTCTACAAAAGCTCCTCGGGAAGAGTGTCAAAGGCAAAAAGAGAGGCTGGGTCATTGGTATGTGGTGTAAGTAAACCTGCACAACCAGAGTGGTGGAAGAGTTAATGTGCGGATAGAGACAAGATTTGCCTTCCTGCAACAGGAATCAGAATGCCTGAGTTGGAAGGGCCCCATAAAAGATCATCCAGTCCAAATCCTGGCCCTTCGTGGACACCCCAACAGTCCCACCCTGTCCCTGAGAACGTTGTCCAAACACTCCTGGAGCTCTGTCAGCCTTGGGGCTGTGCCCACTGCCCTGGGGAGCCTGGTCAGTGCCCAACCACCTTCTGGGGGAAGAACCTTTTCCTTATATCCAGCCTAACCCTCCCCTGTCACAGCACCAGCCATTCCCTCGGGTCCTGTCACTGGTCACAGGGAGCAGAGATTGGAGCTGCCCCTCATGTGGAAGCTGCAGACCCTGATGAGTCTCCCCTCAGCCTCCTCCAGGCTGAGCAGACCAAGTGACCTCAACCACTCCTCATATGGCCCCTCTAGACCCTTCCCCACCTCCATAGCCCTCCTTCTGATAGCTTTATATCTTGTATTGTGGTGCCCACAATCCACACCCAGGACTGGAGGTGAGGCCGCGCCAGCACGGAGCAGAGCAGGAAAGAGCCACCCAGATTTATCTCAGGTTGCCCAGAGCCTTTCTGGGGGGTTTAGTGCGCGCAGACCCCCAGAAGGTCCGCCCTGAGCAGACACAGACCTGCAGCCCTGGGACCCAGCAGGTGTCACTCGCGGGCAGCGGATGCAGCCGCTGCAGGAATGGTCCCCATTTAGTGACCTCTAGAGGCTTCAAATCCTCCCTCACAGGTTCGTAACAGTGTCAGGGTTTGTTGTTGATGATTGTGCCGAAGCTGAAGAGCAAAGTGATGCAGCAGCAACCAGGGAGAAGCCGTCCCCCGCAGCTCCTGGCAGGTCAGCCAGCTCCCCAGGTTTCCCAGACATGAAATATCCATCCCACAGAGGACTGTTAGAGCGGATCAGAGATGAAAACTAAATTAAAGACGCTGAGGGGAGCCCACAGGGCTCCTACATAAACTCTAATCTCTGCAGCTTTTACTGCTCTTAGGTCACAGAGTCTTATTCCACACGCCTCCCTCCTGCCACTGCAGGATTCTTGGATTAGAATCTGCAGGGTTGTGTTACCTGGTATTAAATCAGTTGAGGTGTGGGACCCATGTTGTCTCAAGAGATATGGCACCGTGTCACACACATCACTCAGAGACTGGTCTCCATGTCCAGCTTCACCTGCTCTTTAACCAAAATTAATTTATTTACATTGAATAGTGCTCTCTCATAACATAAAAATAAAAGCAGAAGGAATAGATTACTACCTCATTTTTTTTTAGTTCAATTAATAACAGAGAGTAAGAGTATGAAGGCATAGTGTGCCTGATCACCTGAAGAAAGGCTTCCAAATTTAGACTCTGTTAAACGGGTTAAAAATCCACTTATTAAATTATCTTTTATTTTATTAGTGAACTTTACCGGTAACTGTCATTTTATGGTTGAAGTGTCTCCTGATGAACTACTATGTGGCCTTTTTACAGTACTTACAGAAAATCATGCTCCAGACTATCTTCCCTCATTCTTGCAAGGCAACCTATTGTTTTAAATAGGATTACCCATGCAAGGCAGATTAATTCACCTACAGGAAGAAAGCCAGTGCTGGGGGCCTCATTTTAAGGAGTTCTCTGCAGAGCAGAAAAGCTCAAACTGCCCGTAGCAAGATCAGGGGAAATTTGGTTTGTTAGGGTAGCAATGGAAATCCTGAGTGAGGCTCCATCTCCAATGCAACCAGAGACAGCAGTGCCCCAACCCTGGGCTTGAGCCGCCCGCTCTGGCAGCGTAAGAGGAACAGGGCTGTGTCTTTATGCCACCTTAACCTGACCCAAGCAGGAAGAGTGAAATGGTACAGATGTGCAGGAGGTTTTGCAGCACATTTCCTCCCTCTGACCTGTGCTGCTGGCCAAAATTCAGGGTCTTGTTGGTTGACCCAGATGGGAGGAGGAGTGACAAAGGAAGGTGTTTCTGATGTGTCTCTGCTTGCAAGAATGCTCACAGCCCTTCTTTCCTAAACACAGAAGAAATCAGGCATTGAGGGCCAATTTCCTTGCTTAGAGCTCCAGACCTGCTCCTAGCATCAATGTGACCCCAAATGCTTGTATTCAGTCCAGGTTTTATATCACTGATTATTCAGGCTCTTTGAAGTTTCCGTTCCCTGCCTGTTTCAATGCTCCATCTTTCTGTCTCTTCCTCCACCTGAACTGTAGAGTCCATCCACATGTGACCTTCTTTCCTTTTAATATCCTACCCCAAACTGTCCTCCCAGAGCCTTCAGGTTCTTGAGTAATCTTATAATGTGGGTGGAAATAGACTTAATGTCTCCTTCAGCTACCCTAAATAAAGGAATGCAGTTAAACCTACTGATTTCAAGAAGGTTTAACCCAACCTCTAAAAATAAAAGCCTAATGGAGTGTTGCCCTGAGGTTTTCATTTCAGTGAAGACGTCTCAAGAAAATGCTGTGAAGTTCGTAAGTAATGGCATAGAAATAATAGAAGTAGAAATAGAAACAAACTCAAAATACACAGAATATTTTGCAAAAGACGTCAATGGATACGAAAGAGGTTTTCTTCCTCCACTAACAAGGGTAACACATAATATTGCAGCTTTCAGTCCAAAGATTCAGTTGTGGCCTGAAAAGTTAAAGTAACACTCTTCATTTAAGTTGCTGAAAAGGAGAAGTAAAAAGCACAACTTCAAAAAACAACAAAGCAAAGAGCCTGCCCCAGAGGCTGGGATCATTTTTCCTGCTCTGTGTGCTAACTTTTGAAAACTCAGGGTCTCACCTGAATGGTCAGTGGTACTGTAGTAATGTGCAAACACACTGTCCATAGGTGTGTGAGGTGGCACAGAGTGGCCTTCAAGAAGGTCAAGAGACGAGGATTTACCTAAATGGTCCTGCCCCCATTGAAACTGATGACAAAGCACCCAGTGCTTTTAATAAAGGATCAAACCTTTGGTGGTTTGTGGACCAAATACGGTTCTGAAACATGTGGTTTGGCACAGGGTGACTCTTGGCTCCAAAACACTCATTTCAACCTGATGTCTTCCCACCAGCACAGGTTAAGGAGCTGCAGCCATCAAGGAGAGAGAAATCATGAGCTACTGGCACTTCAAGAACTCAAAAGAGAGATGCATGTTTTATCAGCCAGTAATTTGGAGAAAAGGTATTGTCCCAGGTTGCTTGATCCAGTCAGTTATTTTTAATTGTATGAACAGTTTGGTGTGGTGAGAGCAGGGTGGCTGCTGAGCTCTCAACCTAATTCATCTAAAATTGTGCTTGCAGTGGAAACCAGACTCAGGCATTGAACAGGATAAGAAAAGGGTATGGAGTTTGCAATCTCTTCCATGGCCAGAATTCCTCAGGAAAATGGTGAATTGCCTTGCAGAGATAATAATACCTAGGGATTGACATGGCAAAAGCAGTTGAGAGAATTAACCTGTGATTGCAAGCAGATTGCTTGCTCTGTGTTATTACAGAGCCATTTTCCTTTGTCAACCTCAAAACACTTTGCAGAGGAGATCACTTACCAATGATTAATAGTTTAGTATGTACATAGTTCTTTTCTCCTTCACAGCACTTGAGTGTTGATGCATCTTCATGCTCCTCTGATAAAATATGTAAGGTAATGTTATGATTATCTTTTCAAGTGGAGAAATTTGAGCCCCGGGTTTAGGACTGGGGAAGGGGGGGATTCCTCCCTCCTCCTTTGGTCCCATCTTGCTTGTATCTGGTGTCAGTTACAAAAGAACCTTATTTTATAGGTCTTTGATCAGCCTGCTGGTTAGCTAAATATATACCTGTGGGGAGATAATTACATGCTATCAGTAGTAAAGTGTACTAAAATAATGTACGTTAATTAAAACACTTGCAAAACCAAAGCAGGAATTTTCACAGAGATAAATCTGATGCAGCAACAGCTGTATCTGAGGCTGCTTCCCAGAGACAAACATGGAAATAAAACCAGAGACCAGTAAAAACCAGTTTCCTCATGCTAAAAAGAGGAAAGACATGTACCCACAGGGAAGGGCACGATGGTGTCAG